GGGAGTGGGAGAGGGAGAAGCAGGCTTCCCGCAGAGCGGGGAGCCCGATATGGGGCTCGATCCCAGGACCCTGGGACCATGACCTGAGCCGAAGGCAGACGCTTAACGACTGAGCCACCCAGGCGCCCCAACTGGAAGATTTCTAAGACTCCTTCCAATTTCGACATTCTCTGACTCTAGACCTGTGGTTCTTAACTTTGTTAACAAATACAGATGCCTTGGTCTCACCTTTAGACCTATTCATCTGATTGATTTGGGGGGAGGCTATACGTTGATATTTTCTTTTTTTTTTTTCTTTAGAGAGGAGTGGGGCACAGAGAGAGGGAGAGGGGCACGGGGAGAGGGAGAGGGGCACAGGGAGAGAGAGAGGGAGAACCTTAAGCAGGCTCCACGCCCAGTGCGAAGCCCAATGTGGGGCTCGATCTCACAACCCTGAGATCATGACCTGAGCCGAAACCAAAAGTTGGACGCTTAATGACTGAGCCACCCAGGAGCCCCAACATCGATATTTTCCAAAGCTGCCCAGGTGATTCTAGGGTGCAGCCAGAATGGAGCCTCACTGATGTGTGTTCTTTGTTGAGCCAAAGTCTTTTCAGATAGATGTTGAGATTTGCGCGCATGCGCGCGCATGCGTGCATGCATGTGTGTGTGTGTGTGTGTCATATATAAATCTGTACGTAATGTGCTTGGGGGTGTAACGCCAGCTGAGAGAGTGGTGGGAATTCATACTCAGCCTCATATTAATTCAGGAACACAGAAGTAATGCAAACACATATGTCCACGCTGTCTTAATTAGTCCCTGCTGGTTGCTCTGTTCACAAAGTGAGGAAGTATTGCCAAATGTCTGGGATTTCAGCCCATTTTAATTCCCTGTTGGCTTCATAGGAGTGAAAAAGCAGGTAAGATGGCCCGGAACAGAAATACCACCCAACATTCACACATTGCCTTATAATTCATCTAGCACTTTACATATATGATATCACAGAACCCTTACAAGACTGAGATTAATTTTCTTAGCTTTAGGGATAGAAAACCTGAGACTCTTAAGAATCCAGTCTCTAAACACACAACTAAAAAGTAGCAGATGCCAATATTCTAATCCAAACTTTGTGATGTCGTATTTCTCTTTTCTTCATTTACCTCCGTCATGCATCCACACTGACCCTGCCAAACAATCCTTCGGTGACCAGGTATGGGGGTATGGTTGGATGGGGGAAATACATGACCCCTTTGGGGGTTAAAAGTGAAGAGAATGGGGCTGATAGTGTGGGTTTTTCCTCTATATCCCATACAGAGTCAAACCAAAGAGAAGACTGTATTGTCTTTGAATGCAGGCAGTTAACCTTGGTCAGAGGAAGAGACACAGGGCACAGGCCAGGTGTGAAATCAGTGTCAAGGGAAGAGATTAGATTAGAGTTAATTCTAGCCTTAACTGATGTCTTGATCCAGAAAAAACAATCTCATTATTCTGGACTTTTTTTTTTCCTTTTTTAAAGTCACTGATATTGTAACTAAAAAGATAATCTTCAAAGTAGCCAGATAGAAAAAGCAAAAGGCCAAAACATAAAGATTCTGTAGAACACAACAGAGCTATCAGGTTTGACCCACAGATTCTATAACTGACTTGAAGAGCCTCAAAATTTTCTGGAAGTTCTTGGATTTTTAAGCTACGGTTTGAGCATCACCTATAGAAAGAAATAGCCATCTGGGGTACAGTGTAATTCTCTGTTCTAATAATTCAGGCACTTCTAAAAGAAATTGTTGCTAACATTTTCATATATCCATGTGATATAATCTAAATTCAGACAGATTCACATCGAAATAAAGCAGCAGAGGAGAATCCCAGGGAACCAGATATTAAAGCATTTTGTGGGGGCAAAACAAGTTTAGAAAAACATGAAAAAGCAAAGTGAAGTTCTTAACATAGTTATAGCATTTAGCACAAGAGTGAAGAGCTTCTGCCAAAGTGCCATAATCTCGTTAATACTACATTTGCCCTTTAGGACATGTATTAAAATTTCAGGGCAAACCATATGGAGAGGTTTGCAAAATTGTATACTGAAAGGTAGGCAGTGTACCTTATTCTCAAATGGCTGTAATGCTTGCCACTTAGAAGGCTAAAATAGTAACAAAATCACCAATTTGCAGGAGATATATTTAACGCCAAACATTTCCAACTCTCAAATAAAAGTAAATTAGTCTATTGAGGCTGGCTCGTAAAAATCATTTTAGAACTACAAAACAATTCTGAGGTTTTAGTCATAATAATACTTAGAGCTTCCTTAAGAAGGATTTGAAGACATCATATTAAAATATAATGAATATGTCTAAGCTTCTCCACTAAACACTTGAAAATTAAGACTTCCTAGTATGCCACGAAGGCCTGGTTTTATCCCTTCCTTCAATAACCGCCCTCCCCACCTTTTTCTATTTCAAAGGAATCCCTGAGCACAAAAAATCATGAGGAAATGCAGAAAGTATGAGGATCAAGTTGTTTATTGTGAATGTTTGTTCAATAAGCTAGATACTGTATCACGAGTATAAATGTGTGACGCCCTACATTTGTGAGGCCATTTTAATAATAACTGCACTATCCATTTCATGTGCCTGATACCCTGCACTGCTATTGGCTAATTGTGTGGATATCTTGAGGTCGGATAAGTTAAAGAGAAAAAAAGACTCACAAAGATGTGAACTTCTCTTTGCCTCGTTAACGTAACTTACCTTGGAAGGCAGCAAGTGGCCCGAGTTTTTGAATCCTATGATCCTATAACTCATTTGGATCCCAGCTCTACACTCACCAGCTGCCCATTTATAAATGGGACAACAATGCCTACCTCACTGGATGGATGTGAGGCTTAAACTGAGCTAATACATATCAAACTCCACGTACAGTGCTTTATATAAGACAAAAGCGTAATAACTATTATTTTTCACTTTCCTTCAACTTTGTTTCAATGACTTAGGCAGTTCCTCTCTCATGTTGATACAATACTTCTTTTAGCTAGCATAGATGCCAATCAAGAGTGTTTAAAATAGTTAAGTGTTCATATGTTCTCACTTTCCTTAGAAACAGGCCTGTGTTAATTCATCACATGGTATTTCTTTAGTTCTTATTAATAATAGTTGGTGTTCTGGGTAGTCCTTAATTCTATAGTAATATTTCTTTTTTTTAAAAAAAGATGTATTTATTTACTTGAGAGAGGAGTGGGTAAGGGCAGGAGGACAGAGGGAGAAACTCAAGCAGACTCCCCATCGAGTGCGGAGCCCAACATGGGGCTTGATTCCACAACCCCAAGATCATGACCTCCCCCCAAATCAACAGTCAGATACTCAACCCACTGAGACACCCAGGCACCCCATCTGTAGTAATATTTCTATTAATAAAAAGAATTCATTCTAATGAAATAGATGATGTCAGAAATTTTGTGAGCAGAAGTAGAAACAATAAAACACAATATGGCTTCCCTTTTCACTTCCCAATCTTGATCATAGATTCTATCCTCCTCTGTGGGTTAGATCACATCGGACTTTAGTACAGGATAGGAAGACTCCATCATGTCTCTTGGGTGGTTCACTGCCCAGAGGCTCAGCATCTACCCCTGCTCTTGACTAAGTAGCCTCTTGACCCTTCTTGATAACCAGTTAACAGGAATCCGAGGGCTGGTGGCTACTCCTCAGATGGAACCAAGTTTCTGATCTTTCTAACCTGACTACCCATTTCACATGTCCAATATGTTGAACTGGTGTTGGCTAGTTGGGTGGATCTCTAGCACTCTCTGAGGACACCATCTTTTTTTCACTGAAGGAAGCCCAAGCAGTGATGAGGAGGCCCAGCTTAGACCAGTTAGATAATTCTGTCAGAGGATAGCTGTCACAGTGAGGGCTCCATGACCACAATGAAAAGCTTATTTACACATAAATGTACATTATTTTATATGTTGAAATTGTTAAAATTAGAAGTGTAGAAGCATGTGACCTGTGGTGAAGACAAGCCATGTCACTCACCTGCCCAGGCTGTTCACAGGCTGTCTGGTACCTGGCCTGCTGGCACAATTCTTTGACCCTCTCATATTTGGGCAAGTGATTTGACTGTTGGATATTCTTGCTGGATTCTTCTTTCTTACGTAAAAACTTCCTTTGACAGAAAAGAAGAAGTTTCTGATGTGAGAAATGATTTGATTTACCCACCCAGCATCTTTTGCCTTTTCTCTTTTTCTCCCCTGTGGCATGACTCCACATTCTTCAAATGGCATGAAATAGATGGTAAGATCTTATCCACAGGAGCTCAACATTTGCTGAGTCCTTTGTGAAAATTATAACCCGGGCACTATGAAGAATGATTATCTCCCTTAAAGCATTAATTTCAAAACTTTGGGCATGAATGTTTAGCTTTACAGTCATACAAATGCTTTTCTCTCAATGTGTGTATGGAAAAAACTGAGACAATGAGGATTATGAATCAAAAGGGGAAACCCAGAAGGGATTCTGGAAATGACAGTCTCATATATTTGTGTTTAAAACTGGGAAAGGCACTTAAGGAAAGGAAGGAGAAAGGAGAGGGCCAGGAAGGACTTGGGAAGGAAGGCTGAGAAGGTCAATGGACTGGTCCGATTCTGACCCTGAGGTCGAAAAAGCAACGGTAAGGGCTTTGGCCCCGCCGTATGAGAACTTATGTTTAACAATTCTGATGCAGCAGTCATTACTGTGTTGGTCAGTGGAGCATGAGTAGCAAACCCTTCAATCCTGTGACTAGGCTTATGAAATCTGCATGCTTAGTAAACCTGAATAAGGGGGAAAAATACCCAGCAGGGAGAGCTGCCCACTAGGCCTGGTTCCCAGAAGCGCCCCAGGAACCAGTAATTACCCTCTTTCCACGAGGAATGTATCACGCCAAATTCTGGCTTTCTTGTTTGTTCGAAACCTGAAAGCAAAATAATAATATTTACTGTTGGCATCTGGACATTTTTCCACATGGATCTGTGCTCACAGTTTATTTAAAGAAACACCTCTCACTTCCCGCAGACCAAGACTGCATCTCCATCAATACACTGTTCACAAACAGCCGCGACAGTCTCGGATTGCTGTGATTCTCCTGGGCAGGGCATACTTTGCCTCCACAGCTTTCGGCTGCTGGCTGGCTCTGGGTGCCGGGGTGCTTGGGGCTGGCTGAGGGAAAGCAAATTGACACACCTGTTACCCGGCTTTTCCAGGTCCAGAAGTTTGAGGACGGACTTGCCGTCCACATCGGGAGGCGTGTCGAGCCCAGCGATGTCCAGGATCGTCGGGGCCAGGTCGATGTTGAGAACGATCTGTGGGACTCTGCAAAGGGACAGGAGGTTAGGCCCCAGATCTAGCACCAGTGAGGTTAGCACGGAGGACCACTTTCTCCACACCGAGACTCATCGGCCTTCAACCTTCTCCCCCTCTATCTTAGTCTTTCACGCATAAAACCGTCTAACCTAGATCAGACAATTCCCACAGTGTTTCCAATGAGCTGAAGAGACATAATAACCTTCTTCCAGGAAACCCTTCTACTAACATCACCTTCTCCCCTCTTCCAGGATGTAGTGCAATGGAACAGCAGAGGCAGCGCCTGGACGAGGTTCAGAACATCCAGGTTCTGGGCCCCAACGAATCCATTTCCAGAATCGGGGACTCTGAGAGAGGCACGTGTGCTGTGCTAAGCTTCTTCTGTGTTAGATCAGAAGTCAGGGCTGGGGGCGCCTGGGTGGCTCCGTGGGTTAAGTGTCTGCCTTTGGCTCAGGTTGTGACCTCAGGGTCCTGGGATCGGGCCCACGTGGGGCTCCCCGCTCAGGGGGGAGTCTGCTTCTCCCTCTGCCCCTTTCCCTGCTCGTGCTGGCACGCCCCCCATAGATAAATAAAATCTTAAAAAAAAAAAAAGAAGAAGACGTCTCGGCTCGATGCTCCTTAAGGGCCATTCCAGATTTGGAATTCCACTTGCATTCTTTTCTTCAACTCTTTCCTTAACTGTTTCACGTACACGACCTTATTTTACACAGAATATTGTGATGTGGCCGGCAGGGCATGTAAAACTCATTTTATAACGGGAAAAGAGAGCTGCATTGGGAGGTAGTGACTTGTCTAAGGTGGCAGGAATAGAACGCCAGTCCTTTAGGCCTTTTTTCTTCTAAAAGAAAATCATGCTTTTTAAAATTTTATTTTCTTTAAAAAATTACTTTAGTAATAATTAAAAAAAAACAAAACAACTAAAGGCAGGCACTGGTTGTTTTTTTTTTTAAAAGACAGTGTTTGTCTGATTCAAAGAAGTACAGATGATGTGTCCCTAATGATCACATTCTGTCTGTGTGCACAGGCCATGGGATGGGGATTCTGATGTTTTAGCTTTACAGTCATTGTAAATTAGTCATTGATAGTTAATTTTCCTTTCTCTTTAAATAGTATACTTTAGTTAATTTAGTGTGTGGTAGGGGAAAAAAACAAGGTTTTCATTTTCTAAATTACCAGCCTCCACCTACATACACCCTTTTCTGTTTTGGATGAAAAGAAACCAGACCCTGAGATTGGTAATCGAATTATCTCAGATATACATGAGCCACGGCAACCGAATGTTGCAAGCAGGGAAATACGTACATGGATCCTGGTTCTACACTTGGACCACGAATAAAGAAAGGCACACGGATATCAAAGTCATATGGCATGGATTTCCCCTTGACCAGTCCAAACTGCCCAATATGGTAACCGTGGTCGGCGGTGTAAATGATGTAAGTGTTCTCCAGCTCCCCCGTCTCCACGAGCATATTATACAGCTGAAATACAACGGAGACAAAATGGGCAAGATGACAATAGTGTTGCTGTGATTTCCCCTGAAATTCTTCCCCATTATTTTTTAAAGGCAAGAGTCACTTTAACAAGGCTAAGAAACATGGTCACTATCTACGTTTTCTAGTTGCTTACAATCCTGGAGGGGAAAAGTCTAATAATGGAGTAATGTAACTCATTTGAATCTGGCACATTGTTCTTAAAGGTTTTGTGCACCTATTTAAAAACAAAAACAAAAACAAAACAAACTCCACAAAACAGCCTCTACCACCTAACTTATAGGTTTTATTTTGAAAAATCCATTGTTAAAGCAAATTTTATCACCACTTTTTATACAGTTATCAAGGTTAAGAACAGGCTGCTTTGGAGCCTGATCCAACTGAATCCAGCCTTTAGGCAAGTTTTGTTTGGCTTCTGTGGCTTTTTTTTAAATTCAGGATATTTCAAATAAAATGCTTGTATTTCTGGTTTCCTTTGAAAAGTCAGAAGATCTCATGATATTGGGTCTATTTTCCTACATGGCAAAAATTAGCTGGAGCCAAGTAGTTGCTCCTTGTTATAGATGTGGGCATTTAAAGTTCACCATAATCCCCACCATGCCCTGTCGCTTTATATGAGACCAGCTTTAGGTATTTACATTATTCGCCTGATTCTTGAAGGTATTTGTGAGTGTAGCTCTTGACTTATGGTGTTTTGATTTTTATCTCCTCTTTGCCGCTGGCTCCAAAGAACCAAGCCTGGAGAGGTAATAGAAGGGGTCAAGATAAGGGAAGGAAGATAAAGTCACTCAACACACACTCACGTACACATATTCACACACACGGGCTCTCTCCCTCTCTTAAAAACAGCAACAACAAAACAAAGACAGAATTAGCAAGAATGGATCTACACTAAGGAAGCTGGACCAAAACCTGTCACTGAGGCAAGTTCGTGTGCTTACCCTTTCCACAGAATCGTCCACTGACATCAAAGTCTGAAGCCTTTTGCGATGTAGAACGTTTGTAAATTCCATGTGGATGGGCAGCATGGGTCCCGTGTACTGCATAATCCAGTGCTTATCCATATTTGGTGCATAGTTATAACTAGGGGTTCTGAAAATATCCAGAAAGGATTCTTACTAAATGTATTTTTAGTCAGTTAGAGAAATATCTCAAGTTCCAGGTAATTTAGACATTGCTATTTTTTTCTCCCATGTGTCTTCTATGTTTATAAGAAGAGCTAAAATCCTCACTACCCCAAATATCACACATCCCCTAAAGGCATATGGATTCAGATTTATAAAACCAAGACAGACAGCTAAAAAGGTAATTAGTGCAAGTTCATTTGGATTCATTGAAGAAAATGTGTAAAAAGACATTAAGGTGATCATGGTATTGTAACACCTACAGATAAAATTCAGTAATACAGAAGGGAATGTTTTCATGGTGATGTTAACTCATAAAATTTGGTAGTTAATAGGGCTATTAGGTAGAGTCACAAATATGTGGAATAATGATGAATCATAATTTCAACATATTTTTTTTCTCTAATCTCTAGTCTATGAGTTTTTCTCATTCCTAACCTTGTATATAGATACCATTAATTTAATAGGATATGCTGGAATTAAAACCAAGTCTACTTCTGCAATATACATGCTTATCAATAAAGCTATTCTTTTTATAGACAATTCAATACAGGTGCAGAGCACAATTTTTGTTAACTACAGGGAGGTGGGTCCTATTCCTCTCGGACATGTGGGTTCAAGCCTGTATTTAATTTATCACAGAAACTCAAGTGGTGTCTCATACGTTCTACTGGGGGCCCACAAAATATGTTGCCTTCTTTTTGAAATCTAACCCAAATCCCTTGACCATTAGATGCTGCCACTTCATACTCCTAAAGTACATGTCTATGCTAGAGTAATTCTCACACTGAGAATTATCTATTTATATTTGACATCTCCTCCAGACTACAACGTATTTGACCCTTCTCCTTAGATGTTATTAAGCATGTAGAAGTTGTTTAATATTAAAAACTTAGTATTTACCATGTGTTGGGTATTGTGTTGTTTTGTATACATTAACTCATTTAATTATCTCTGCTGTTCTTGGAAATCGGTTTATCATTCCCATTTTAAAGACTGATTTATTTATTTTTATTTATTTATTCGACAGAGAGACACAGCGAGAGAGGGAACACAAGCAGGGGGAGTGGGAAAGAGAGAAGCAGGCTTCCCGCTGAGTGGAGAGCCTGATGCAGGGCTCGATCCCAGGACCCTGGGATCATGACCTGAGCCGAAGGCAGACACTTAACGACTGAGCCACCCAGGCGCCCCTCATTCCCATTTTAGAGCTGAGAAAACTGAGGCTTAGCAAAGTTAAGTAACTTCCTCAGATGAACAAAGTTACTAGGTGGTAGATCCAGGACTCAATTCCAAAGCCCATTTGTTCTAACAAAATGAAAGAAGAGGGAAGTGTGGGGTGCTTCCTATGTCTCAGACCACTTTTCATAGGAACCACAACTTCACAAGTAACTGGTCTCGCAGAATAAGCAACAATCTATGTTGGTTGAGAAATCTGATAGCCAGTGTCTGCTCTGGGGAGGGTCCTATCAGTGAAAAATGGTGGATAATGACAAGGATAGGTGACCCTGTGCCATCAACTAGGGAAATAGGGGTGCCTGGGTGGCTCAGTTGGTTAAGCATCCAACTCTTGATTTTGGCTCATGTCATGATCTCAGGGTCCTTTTGCTTGGGTTTCTCCCTACCCGCCCCCCCACCCCCACCCCAGCTTGCTCTCTCTCTAAAATAAAAATAAATTAAAAATAAATAAAATCTTAAAAAAGCAAAAACAAAAACACCCTAGAGAAACAGTCACTGTGAGCCCGGTGAATTCAGGGGCATTGACCACGTACTCCTCTGGTTTGCACGAGAGCAAATCTCCCTCAGGGTAAACCCGGAGTTTCTGAGCTACGTGATTGTACACTGGGCTATTTCCACGCATGCTGAACTATATAAATGCTGCCTGTTGTTATATTTTTTCTTCTGCCAGTGCATTTGCAGGACCTCTCTTTTGATAGTTGAAAATGCTCTTTTGGTACCATTGAGCTTCTTGGCACAAAAGAAGGTCACATCATACCCTAATGATCAGTATGGATGCTGGTTAACTAGCAGAAATACAACAGCATAAATACCAATATAATATTGAGCACAGAAGACCCTGTACCTAAAACTGTATAAAGGGGCAGATTTGCAGAGTAGGAAAAGCAGGTGTGGTTCACTTTGCTCATCTGTAAACGGGGATAATAGTATCTTTCTTAAAAAGCTCTTTTGAGGAACAACAAATCTCTGTCTATCTATCATCTATCTCTCCATCTATCACCTATTTATTATCTATCTCTATATCACTTAAAAGTGCCTAGAACAGAGGCACATGAGTCTCCTACATAAGCCAATAAACAAATACATTCTATATAAATGTCTGGGTTGAAAAATCCTGTCGCATTAAAAACCAAACAAGCTCTTCAGGTATCACCTGCCATTCTTTTTATTTTTATTTTTAAAGATTTTATTTTTATTTATTTATTTGACAGAGACACAGCGAG